AAAAGGAGAGGGTTGAACATAAGTCTCAAGGTGAGGGTATTTTGGGTATTTCAAAATATCCTCACATTCACACTTATCTACTAAAAAAATATGTATATATAATAGTAATATATAATGTATAATATATAAGTAGTACATAAGTGTGAATGTGAGGGTATTTTGGGTATTTAAAAATACCCTCACATTCACACTTATCTACTAATTTTTTTTTATATAAGTAGTAGATTTAAATATATTTAAAAATAATATAAGTAATACTATACATTACAATAATTAATAGCTTAAATATTTAAAAGTTATATAAAAAATATAATTGACTCTCTAAATTCTATTGGTACCACATAAAATGGATTATATGATAAACGTATATTGTTTGAAATTGACGAAAAAGAAACTATAAATTACAATAATTAACAAAAAAAATCGCTCGACTCCAACAAATCTATCAATTAATGCCACATAAATTGGGACATGGGAAATAACATATATTCTTTAAAAATTAAGTTCAAAATGTACTATAAAATACAATAATTAACAACTTAATATAATAAAGAGACATATAAAAAATATTTAATATTTGAAATTTTGCATGTGCCACATAAATTAGAACAAAGAGAGTAATAAATATTATTTTCAAAATTCTGTAAAAAAAGGTACTACAAATCACAATAGCTAACAATTTAAAATATTTTTACAATCATATAAAAATTTCAATAACTTCTCAAATTTCATAATATATGACATAAGAAGAGGGAATAACCAATATATTTATAAAAATAAATGACATATAAAATGAAATGGAGAGAGTATTAGTTTTTGAAAATGGAAAAGGACAAAACACATATAAAATTAAAACACATATAAAAAAAAAGTTGGTTTAACTCTCAAACATAAAAAGTAACATATGTTATTAAAAACTTTAATAAAAAGTACTATAATTTACAATAAATAATAACTTAAAATATCTACAAGACAACAAAAAAAAGACTAATTTGTGTACTGCTTGTGTCACATATATTAGGATTGGGATGATTTTAAAATTTTAATTTTGGTTATACATTATAAAATAGCCGAAAAATTGAATGATATAATTTTTTTTAAAATAACCGAATGAATCGTCCTATCGATAACCCTAATGTTACTTCTACTCTGTTTATTTTTACTTAAATTTAGAAAGATATGCTTCATTTCTACCCTCAATCTTATCGCTACATTTATTTGCTATTTAAAATTGAAATTAAAAAGACAAATGACAAATAAGTTTCTATATTAGCTCACTTATGAGCAAAATATATTATAACAATCTTTACTAATTTTATCTGTCTCTTATTAGATGGGCACTTCCAACTTTACACGGTGATTAAGAAATCATTAATACATTGGAAGACTTCACCATTTTGCCCTTTCTTTATATCAATGCACATTGAAATGAGTTACAAAAAATACACATACAATATAGGAATGGTCATAATTAATTGTAGGGTAAAATGGAAAAGAATTAATTAATCCTATCATAATTTAATAAGTGCTCAAATAATATGAAAAATAAAAATTTAGTAAGATTCTCATCTAATATGGGACGGAGAGAATAACAATATAACTTTATTAATGTTGGGCCCGGGCAGCGCCCGGGCTTTCGTTACTAGTATATATATATATATATATATTTGATTCAAGAAATTAAAAAGAAAGAATATTCAAGGTCGTATATATCTTAATGAGCGTGTTATTTTATTTTTACTTTTACTGCAAAGTCATTTTATTTATTTTTAAGAAACTAATTTTTCTCTATTTTCATTCGGAAAATTATTTTCCTCATTTAAAAAAAAATCATGTTTTTCTTTAAAAAAGTTATTTTGAACAATTAAATAGAAATTGAGATATATACGAAGTGAATAAATTAAAAACTTAAGATTTTCAACAAGTTCTATATTTCTCAAAGTAATAAATTGAGGGTATAATAGAGATTTTTTTTAATCTTTTCTTGATTTGTCAAAATGAACAAGTAATTAGGGATAACTAAAAAAGAAATAGAGGACAAGTAATTAGGGGTAGAGAGAGTTCTTTAATTGAATCATTCGGGTTAGAACTTCCTAAACTTACTAAGGGCTACTTCCTAAAGTCCAATAAAAAACCAGCTGCTAGGGTCCAAGTACCAACGTCTTGTCTGCATTTGAAAAGTAACGTATGAATCAGTAACGAAATACATTCCCCTTTTCTTCACAGACAAAATAACTCAAAAAACAAATGAATTTAAATAATTAAAAAGACATACAATAAAACCACTAGCTGCCTGCAATACAAAGAGCACACAGTTAGCTAAAAAGAGTCACTTGTTTATAACTCTTTAGGTACACTATAAATTCAGCCTTAACCCCAAACTCCCAAACATCATTTTCAAAATCATCAAAATACCAGAGAACCAATTCATCATAAGAAATACTTTAAGAGAAAAAAACAATCAAAATGAGTTCAAGCAGGAGAGCCTGGATTGTAGCAGCCAGTGTTGGAGCAGTGGAGGCTTTAAAAGATCAAGTTGGATTGTGTAGATGGGATTACCCATTGAGGTGTTTGGCACAACACACAAAGAATAACATGAGATCTTACTCTCAAGCTAAGAAACTTTCTTCTTCACTTATTGCAAAGAGTGAAAAGGCAGAGCAATCTGAAGAGTCTTTGAGGAAAGTTATGTACTTGAGCTGTTGGGGTCCAAATTAACTAATCTTTGCTATAGAGAAACTTCTATGTCATTTTTGCAGACATGAAGATTTCCTAGAGAATATAAAGGATAAAGAGATTAAAAAAATTTATGTATGACTATAATTGTAAATATAGAGTAATTAATAGAATTTAAGTACTGTTGATATTTTGATGAAATGATGATATGACAGATTGATTAGTATTTGTATGATCATTTTGACATGCTTGCAAATAATTCTTCAACTTAATTATTTTGTATTTGGTGGTCTTGATTTCAAACCAACAAAGAAGAAGAAGAAGATCTTAAAAGATGCAAGTGTCAAGTGTGTGTAAAATTGAGTGAACAAATTGTAATAACGACTTAATTTGATTATAATAATAACACTACTTAAAGAAGTAAAATTTCAAAATGGAAAGGATGAACACATCTTAAAAGATCTAAAGTATAAATTGTGTGAACACAAGTTGCACGCAGCGATCGGTATTCTGAAAAACAATCATATAAACAAGCATTTTGCCCGTCTGACTATAAATTTTCGAAGTAGTATTAAGAAATTTATTAGATTTTAAAATGTAACACAATTTCATACCGATATAAGTCACTAACTCGGATTTGGCTCCCCCTCCAGTAGTTCATCTGTCTAGTTTCTCCAATGGAGTGTTAATTTTATTTAGGGGAAAAGGACAAATATATCCCCAAACTATTGTAAATGGTATGCAGAAATCCTTCGTCATATTTTTGGGACATTGGTGTCCCTGCCATCCAAAAATTAAAGCATATATATCCTTTATACTAATGGACATACACGTATCATAATTTTATTTGTCGATTAAATATCGGATCGACGGATAAGATTGCGTCACTTATCCCTATTTAGTCTTCTGTTAGAGTGAATGACATATATGCTCTAGTTTTAAAACGACAGGGGCATCAATATCCAATAGTATAACGGAGGATATCTGCATATCATTTACGATAGTTCGGAAATATATTTGTCTTTTTTCCCTTTTAATTACTACATGTGTCCCTCAAATTAATAGATGATTTGATTCAGATTATTTGCTAAAACCAATCATTTAACCATAGTCAAACATTATCTTCCTTTTTATTACTCCCTTCGTTTCAAAAAGAATGATCCTATTTCTTTTTTAGTCTGTTTCAAAAAGAATGACCCATTTCCTTTTTTGGCAACATTTTAACTTTAACTTTCCACGTGGCATGTTTAAGGCCACAAGATTTAAAAGACAATTTTGTACATTTGACATAACTTTAATTTAGGACCACAAGATTCAAAAGTTTTCTTTATTTTCTTAAACTCCGTGTCAAGTCAAACTAGGCCATTCTTTTTTAAACGGAGGAAGTATTTGCTTTATATGGAGTATAATAAGTTACTGTATATTAGAAACAACGACAGTACTTACTAGTGGTAAGATTTGTTTTGCAGTTAACGTAACTCCAAACATTTCGGTGGTTTCATTTTCAAGAACTTTTCCCATGGTTTGGGCGCAACTGGATTTTCTTTAATCCAAGCCAAACCATGTGCCAATTTTCATCTGCATATTATTATTATTAGCATTAGACACATCAGCACATGTCACTCTACGTGTCTCCAATCTAGCAGCTATTCCAAACAACAAGCTACAAATTCGGTGTGCTCTTTACCCACCCACCCCATAATTGTGATCATAAAAATAATGTATGTACTAATTAAAATACCAATTACACCCTCCTCAATACTGATCATTAAGAGATTAACCCAAGGGCAGAAATGTACTTTACATCCCAGAAACCATGCTCCAAAACCACACGAAACACAACCATAAGCCTCTACTCTAGTTTTTTTTTTCCTTCCAACAAAGGCACTATATATATATAGCCATACAGAGAGAGAGATAATTCAAAAACCAACAAGTTATTTCAGCAAAAAATTAAACATTCTCCAAATATAAAATATCCAAGAGTTTTGAAGAATCAAAGATTAGAAAATGAGTTCAACGGGCAGAGCATGGGTTACAGCAGTGAGTTTGGGAGTAGTAGAGGCATTAAAAGATCAAGGAGTTTGTAGGTGGAATTACACAATCAGAGCCATAAATCAGCACGCTAAGAACAATCTACGCTCATATTCACACGCCAAAAAGCTTTCATCTCAATCTTCTTCTTCTTCTTTGGTTTCTGCTAACAAATTAGAATTGAAAAAGGTGAAGCAGTCTGAGGAATCTCTGAGAAAAGTCATGTATTTGAGCTGTTGGGGGCCTAATTGATCGAATCCTCACAGCAGCTACATTTAATTAGTTTCATCTTTCTGTACATGTAAAGTCTTTGACAATATTGTAAACGATTTTGAGAGCTTGGGCTAAATTGCCCCCATCAACTCTTGTGGAAAACAAATTTCTGCAATCCAATTTCGAAACATCATCAAATTTACTAGCAATCAAATGACAGCACTATAACATAAACAGTTTTTAGCGTGATAAATATTTTCTAAGAGTGTTAAAATATTTATCAGTATTAATTAAATTGTTATTGATTCAATCTAACTATAGGTTTTAAAAGATATTTTAAAAAAAAATTAATTGCCACTAAAAATATATTTAGATTAATTAATTGTCTAGTTGCCAATTTATATTATCAAAATTAATGTAGAAAAACAGAGTTAATTTTAGAAGAAAATCATAATAATAATCGAAAGAATCGACAAGGCAAAATAGTCTAAAGAATCATTCAGAAAAGTTATTTACTTGACCGGCTGGGGTCCCAAGTCCCACTTTTTATTTTAATTTTAATTTCAAAATAATTTGCAGCCCTATAACCTCTGTCACAATCTTTGCCCAAATTCCAATTTGATCATTTCCTTCTATTGCAATTACTCCCCAAATAAAAGAAGAAGGGGTATGATTGCTAATAGGAAATAATTACAAGATGAACTAATAATTTGGCAGATCAAATAGTATATGTTGTATCGCTCCAGAACTCGAACCCGTTCAGTTTTTTTGATTTTTCCGCTCTTTCATATTCATATTAAAGTTTGATTAAATCTAGATTAAAGTAGGGGAGTCTCACATTAATGATAAAACACTCATTAATAAAGGCAACATCGAATTTGAGGAAACTCGAAACTGTGCTCTTTTGGTTAAGAATAAGTAATCACAACTCTTGTTAGTGAACTCAAACCAATTATATACGCTTCTATTTGATTTTCAAGGGAAGTGATACTTATCCTGAACAATTGCTTCATAACATTCAGTTATTCACACGCAAACTAACAGAGGCGGACCTACATTGATCCGTGAGATTGCATGTGCAACCGATAACTTTATAGATACCTTAAGTAAGGATTATATATATAATTGTGCACTTCAATAACTTGAAATTCATCCAGATGAGATGGCATGTGCATCCGATAACTTTATAGATACCTTAAGTAAGGATTATATATATAATTGTGCACTTCAATAACTTGAAATTCATCCAGATGAGATGGCATGTGCATCCGATAACTTTATAGATACCTTAAGTAAGGATTATATATATAATTGTGCACTTCAATAACTTGAAATTCATCCAGACGAGTTGGTTAAAGCCGCAACTATTACCCACCATATTGTGGGTTCGAGTCTAGCACACCCCAATCTTCAAATCCTGAAATAGCCTCTACACACTAAAAGGAAGTTGTAAAATACCAAGTTCTTTTTGAAAAATAAAAATTACTCAAATTTACCTAAATGTCAAATAAATTTACTATAAAACAAATGTGCTATTCTTAGAACCATCCAAGTTCTGAATTCTCCAAAATTCCCGTTCCATTTTTTTCGTCTATGCTTTTGAGAAATAATGATGGTTAATTTAGAAAATAAATAATTAATATAAAAAATAAATTTCTTAAAATATACTATTAAAGATGATAAATAAAAATGACAAAAGTGTGACGTGCTCCAACTCTTGTCTTATTTTAAGAAAATCACAATGAATGAAACGTCTAGAAAACCACTGGCTGTAGAACCCACAGTTACACAAAAACCAGTGGCTCATCACTTTCTAGGTACTCTCTTTATCCAATTTACTCTTCAGCTCACTGCCTATATATTCAGGGCCCTTAGCCCCAACTTGTAAACATCATCTCCTAAATCATCAAATCTACTAGCAAAAGCAGAAAAACAGAGTTAAATTTTAGAAGAAATTGAATCAAAATGAGTCTAAGCAGGAGAGCGTGGATAGTAGCAGCCAGTGTTGGAGCAGTGGAAGCCTTAAAAGATCAAGTTGGATTGTGTAGATGGAATTACCCATTGAAGTCATTGGCTCAACACACAAAGAATAACATGAGATCTTATTCTCAAGCCAAGAAACTTTCTTCTTCATTAATTGCGAAGAATGAAAAGGCAGAGCAATCTGAAGAATCATTGAGAAAAGTTATGTATTTGAGCTGTTGGGGTCCAAATTGATTGTAATTAAATAGGACTACTGTCTATTTTGAAAATTATATGAGAAAACTCCAATACGGTGTTGATATATTTACATAACTTTTTGTCAGCTATTCCAATATTTCTGCATTACTTCAATAAAATACTATAGTATATGGTTTTTAAAATCTGAAATTAGAAATAGAATCAAGATCGAACAGCATCTCAAAAGATCAGTACAAATTAAAAATATTAAATCACGAAGAGTGGAAATTGAATTGCATCTTCTTAACATAAGCTTAGGTATAAATTGATAAATTTGTCTGTAGGTTTCTTGTGAATAGTCTTTACCACTCCCTCTTTTTCTCCGCACACTTTTATTATTTAATATAATATTATCAACATGTCCTTTACTTGCTTTTTTTCATGAGCCAACTACGTGGATTTTTTATTTATTTGGATGACGGTTAGATTCGATCTCAGAATCTCTATCTGCTGTGATACTATGTTAAAGTGTGTGATCATATTATCTAAAAATAAAAGGAGCACATGTTTATTATTTAATATAATATTCTCAACATAGTTTTATGCATATCGTCTATTTCCATATCTCTTTGAACCGTAACGATTAACAATATGTATATTGACTTATTTTGATACTTTTTCATTCTAAAAGTTATTCAAAAACACTTTCAAAATTAAAAAATAGCTTAAAAGTAAAAAACTACTAAAAATAAATCAATTCAAACACTCATTTAAATGTATACTAAAAGAATATCTAACATACTTTAGCATACCAAAAATATATCCTATATAGATAAAATGGTGTGAAGATCGTGACAAAAAAGTTAGTAAGTTGGTCAAGTTTTGTCTCGAAAAAAAGTTATTGATTTATCAATATTAGATTATTGGTTTAGCGGCTTTGATAATGGTTTTGATTTTTTTGTTATCGGGTTATCGGTTTTTACGGTTTGAGGTTTTTTCTTAACGAGTTAACCGATAACCGACCGATAACCGATAGTAAATTAAATAATTATATTTATACCATTTTTGTATATAAAGTTCTTGACTTAGAGTTTGATTTCCTACTTTTATTTTTTGTTGTCTCAAACACTTGATTATTCTATAATGTAAAAGTGTTTGCTTTTGAGCAAGATGTAACTTGTGAACTCATGTGCATGGTTTAATTGATTTGTCACCTGATTTCTAAATGATTTTAAATGTTTTTTGTGTGTCAAATCTTAACCGTTAAATCTATAAGCGAACCGATAACGATAAAAAATCGATAAATCAATAACCAATAAGCCAATATCTTAATGATTCTATAACGATTTAGCATCTCTACAAACCGATACGGCGATACCCAATAAGTCAAACCAATAAACTTCAAAATCAAACCGAACCAACCGATAAACAACCCTAATATAGTTACTTTGAGTACATATTATTATTTTTAATATTTATTGTGTTTTAATCATCGTATTATATTTTATTGTTATCTTTTTTGCCCTTTTTAAAGAGAAAATTACGCGGTTAAGCAAACTTATACTACTTAATTACTCATCATAACTATAGTTTGGTATAATCATATATACAAATGCATATGTATAATATACAATTATCTAACCTATATACATATACAATTCACCTCTCTCTCACTCTATGCCCTCTCTCGCTCGCCTCTCCCCTCCCTCTCCCAGTCTCGTTTGCCATATATACAAATGCATATGTATAATATACAATTATCTAACCTATATACATATACAATTTACCTCTCTCCAACTCTCTTCCCTATCTCGCTAGCCTCTCTCCTCCCTCTCCCAATCTCGCTTGCCTTATATACAAATAAATATGTATAATATACAATTATCTAACCTATATACATTTACAATTCACCTTTCTCCTACTCTTTCCCCCCTCTCTCTCCCAGTCTCGCTTGCCTCTCTCCTCCTTATAACATGTAGCTACGAATTGTAATTATCAAACTATAGCTATGGAGAGTAATTGGGCTATTTTTGAATGGCTATATGTGAAAGTTCCCCCTTTTTAAATGTCATGTACTGCTTTTCTTTTTAATCGACACATTTCTTTTAATTATTACTCTATTGAATATCCTTTCCCATGGTTTGGGCGCAAGTGGATTTTCTTTAATCTCGCCAATCGGTGTGCATCCTTATTTAAATTTTATTTATTTATATATTTTAGCCTCATGCATGCCAGAACATGTGTCACTCCTAAAAACAGTGTGCTCTCCAAATATAGTACACGTAGTAATATAATAATTGAAGTGCCAACTTCACCCCAAAGGGGTAGAAACGTACATTCATAAACACACACTTAACTCCAAAATTGTAAAACCATGTTCCAAAACCACAGGAAAATGGAAATAGCACAGCCAAAAGCCACTAGTTTTATTGAGCAATACTTACCTATATAGTATATAATAACAATAGATATAAAATCATCCATTCATCATCCCAAGTAATTGAATCCAACAAATTAAACACAAAAAGAACAAGTCTTTGTAAAAGGAAATAGTAAGCCAAAATTTGAAGATGAGTTCAACAAGCAGAGCATGGGTTACAGCAGTGAGTTTAGGAGTAGTAGAGGCACTAAAAGATCAAGGAGTTTGTAGGTGGAATTACACAATCAGAGCCATAAATCAGCACGCAAAGAACAATCTACGCTCATATTCACACGCCAAAAAATTATCTTCTTTGGTTTCTACAAAAAGTGAAATGAAGGAGAAAGCTAAGCAGTCTGAAGAGTCTCTTAGGAAAGTTATGTACTTGACCTGTTGGGGTCCATATTGAATTCCAACTGTTAAATTTTTTGATATTCTTATGTACATATTTATTCCTTGAGAGTTTAGGAGAATGTTGAAGCAGTAGCTTTATAGCTTGAGGCTTAATTGCCTTGTCAATATTAATAGGAAAACTTTTTTTTCCTAGTCCATATTGATATTGACGCAGTTCTCTAATGAATCATGAATGAACAATGTGAAATTTGTTGATTTGAAACTTTCCATCTATTACCAATGTAAAATGGTTCAAATTTACCTCTAAATTATATAAAATAGAATTAGTTTTACCTCCATTAATATTTTGGGTTAACTATATTTTACCATTGCTAAAAGTTCTTATTTTTGAAGAAAGCTTAGAATACAGTAATGCCGTACTCACTTCGTTTCTATTTATATATCACCATTTTATTATTCATGCATTCATAAAAATCAAGTAAATTTATCATTGTATTCTTATTCAGGCTTCGGTGGTCTTTTAAGTTTCATGCCTTGAGTTTTTGGCCAAAATCATTCTTAAACTATATCTCAAACTTAAACTACATTCTTAAAGTATCATTCTTGGCAAAAAACATCCTTCAAGTATTTAAAAGTGAACAATTTTCTCTTCTACTTGAATTTATCAGAAAACTAACATATACCACAAAAATCAAGTGATCATCCCCTCGTAATTATTATTCTAAGATACGTCAAAAATTCTATTGTGAACTTTTTCGGTAATTGAGTTTAGCATTATGGAAAATCTTTTAATTTGACAGTTTTTTTTTCAATTATTTTTCATGTAATTAGATATTAAAAATATTATTAGTCGAAATATGTTTCTTCTCAATTGAATATCGTAGAAGCGGTGTTTGTTGGAGACTTCCGCTTCTAAAAATATAGAATCAAACTCAAATGCGAGAAATAATCAATATTTTAATCACTTTAATATCAGATTGGCCCAAAAATTTATTGATCTAAATATAATTTGGCTATGAAAAAGGAAAAGATAATTAAGCTTTAACTTCTCTATGGTACTAAATGAGAAAAAGAGCAAATCATGTATGCTCACACCTTCCAAATATTTTTTATTTCCGTAAACAATAGTCTCTATGATTTTTAATATTTTTTTCAAGAACTTCTTATAGGAAGTAGTGAAATTATGCAGGAAAACTTTTGTTGATAATCACGTGAGCTGCTTGTGTTTTTGTAGGATCCCTTAATTTTTTGACGATATCTAACAAAAGGATGAAAATTGTTCACTTTTAAATACTTGAAGAATGTTTTCTGCTAAGAATAATACTTTAAGATGTAGTTTAGGTTTGATGTATAGTTTAAAGATGTTTTTGGCCAAAAACTATTTCACGCCTCATAACAAACTAGTATTCTTATTTAGTGATCTAGAACTTAAGTTTTCAATAAATAAATATAAATTAATTTATTTGATTAATTAAATTAATCAATGAATATGAATTAATCATTTAAGTTTCTTATATCGGTTAAATTTTTTTAATCTCTTTGTTCTTTCTATTCTCTAGGAAATCTTCATGTCTGCAAAAATGACATAGAAGTTTCTCTATAACAAAGATTAGTTAATTTGGACCCCAACAGCTCAAGTACATAACTTTCCTCAAAGACTCTTCATATTGCTCTGCCTTTTCTTTCTTTGCAATTAATGAAGAAAGTTTCTTAGCTTGAGAGTAAGATCTCATGTTATTCTTTGTGTGTTTTGCCAAACACCTCAATGGGTAATCCCATCTACACAATCCAACTTGATCTTTTAAAGCCTCCATTGCTCCAACACTGGCTGCTACAATCCAAGCTCTCCTGCTTGAACTCATTTTGATTATTTTTTTTCTCTTGAAAGTATTTCTTATGATGAATTGGTTCTCTGGTATTTTGATGATTTTGAAAATGATGTTTGGGAGTTTGGGGTTAAGGCTGAATTTCTAGTGTACCTAAAGAGTTATAAACAAGTGGCTCTTTTTAGTTATATAACTGTGTGCTCTTTGTATTGCAGGCAGCTAGTGGTTTTATTGTATGTCTTTTTAATTATTTAAATTCATTTGTTTTTTTGCTAGAGTTGCATTTGCTTCAAAAACTTATCTGGAATGCTTCGAATATTCTAAATTTAAAGATGAGCAAGTGCTCTAGCCTCTAGGAACAAGTTAAGAGAGCATGATTGGCACCCAGTTGGATCAAGTGACTTTGGATAACCTTCTCCTCCCGTCACCGGTTGGATCAAACTACTTATATGATGTGACTTCAGTTCTTAGGTTATTGAAATCATTCATCAGCAAAGAGGCGTGTTTTGTTCCCTTAACTCGAATAACGAAAATTACAAGCTTGATAGATTTGAGGCATGTTGTGTTTAGTTAACTCGAATGAGGAAAATTACAAGCTTGATAGATTTGAACATAATCGAAGTAGCTCCTCATCCATGTCTAAAACCTTCCAAGTGCCTTACCCTGGTCAGATCGCTCCCGAATTTGCTAGGGACTCGTATGATTCAATATACTATGCCAAGGTTATGTATCTTGAGGTATGCCTTTTCGATACTCCCTAAGAGGCCTTCCATTTATTACTTGTTTCTTTGCATTTTGATGCTTAATACATACACAGAAGTTCACTACTAGTTCATGTTCAAGAATATGGTAAAATATTTAGGCATTGCTCCAAAATTTAGCTGATTGGTTAAACATTGATCATTGATGACAAATTGCAGGTCGAGCCTTCCATTTATTACTTGTTTCTTTGCATTTTGATGCTTAATACATACACAGAAGTTCACTACAAGTTCATGTTCAAGAATATGGTAAAATATTTAGGCATTGTTCCAAAATTTAGCTGATTGGTTAAACATTGATCATTGATGACATATTGCAGGTCGGTCGAAGGTTATCTGAAGTCAAAAAGATGAAAGTATGTAGTGGGCTGAGCTACGAGAAGCTGTCGTTTGAGGCTTGTAGCCACCTTGCTCGTAATAAATATTTCCCTTTAAAATCTCCTGGACAAGCTCTCATCACATAGCAAGTGAAGCTCTAAAGCTTGCTCTTGCTTCAAAGAAACCAATCAAGTTAGCTCGATTCTCCTTTTAGTTTCGTGGAAACAAAAAATTCAGGAAACAAAGATCAGCAGATCGTGTTATAGGCAGGAAAGTTGGATCTTTCAATTGAGAATGAGAAGCTCAAAGAACATTTACAAGGTATGCAATGGAGAGTGCTAGAATTGGAAAAAGTTTGTAGGAAAATACAAAATCAAATGGCAAAGATCTTGAAATCAAGAGTATCAAGCCATAATAATGCCAGATCATTACCTTGACTAGGAGTGGCAAACGAGCGGGTCGAGTCAAATATGAGTCGATCGAAAATGAATTAAATAAAAATGGGTAAAATACTCGACTCATATTTTAAATGAGTAAACAACGAGTTACCCAATGGATAATATGGGTGTCCATATTACCCATATTATTCCATGAGTCAAGTTTCTCGCATGCTCAATGAGCTCCAAAATGACCAAGTCATAAAGCATTTAAAGACATTAAATGATCAATTTGGATAACGAAGATAACTAAATCAGACAATTGTGACTGGAACACCTTTGTCAAATGACAATTAAATTTGCCTAATCCACCAAAATTGTTATTGGAAAAAAGAGATACATTTGTGAACTTTACAGAAAGTTGTTTTGTTTTCTACTCAATCAAACTCAATTGTTTGCATCAATGTCGTCTCTTGTGTGTTACTACATGACAATTTTCTAAAAGTTCTTCAAACACTTCTTCCATCTTATGTCATGACCTCTAAAGCCTCTATGGTTTGTGGGTATGTTAAATATTGTTGCTGCAATATGAGACGGTGTTAATCCAGCTTCCGCCAACTGATCAACTGGAGATCCACGATTAATTGCTCGGCAGCATGTTAACTCCAAAAAGACGAAGATGCTGCACCTACAAGGCCACCACTTCCAACAAAATTTCCACAAACTCTCAGTGATTTCTGCTATTGTGGATTGTCCTTTGAGATGCGATGATTTGACAGAAAAAGAAAACAAAAAAAATAAGATCATAGGTATGCTGAAACTTTTAGATAGCTAATATACCATATGCAGGATATTGAAAAATTGAATTTGCTTTCTCACTTTTCTCAGAGAGAGAGAGAGAGTTTACCATGCAGCTCCAGATCCATTTCCAATGAAAATTGACTCAATGTTATAAATACAAACACTCTCGATGTGCTGCTATTAGCTTGGTTAATGTAGAGATTACCATTTACAACAAAAACAAATACACCTAAAGAGCACCTTATTCCAAAATGATCAAACAAATCTCAATGTTCCGCTATTAAAAGAAGAAGATGGATTTTGGAGAGTTGACATCTCCTCAATGAAGAATCTATACAGAAATACCAAATATACTCACTACTTCACTAATTGTAACTTGAGAGCGATTTGCTAAATCACTCGGTCGAATTCGGAAAGATCCAGATCGAGTACATTTTAACCAAACTAGCAATTAGAGGCAAATAGTGTATTTAAGACAACAAAAATTTAAGTAGTGTTGATATTTTGATGATATGACAGATCGATTAGTATTTGTATGATCATTTTGACATGCTTGCAAATAATTCTTCAACTTAATTATTTTGTATTTGGTGGTCTTGATTTCAAACCAACAAGGAGGAAGAAGAACATCTTAAAAGATCTCAAGTGTGTGTAAAATTGAGTGAACAAATTGCAATAACAACTTAATTTGATTATAATAACACGATTTAAAGAAGTTAATTTTCAAATGGAAGGAAGAACACATCTTAAAAGATCTAAAGTATAAATTGTGGGAACACAAGTTGCATTGCAAGCATCGATCGGTAATCTGAAAGACGATCATAAACAAGCATTTTGCCCGTTTGAATATAAATTTTCGAAGTAGTATTTAGAAATTTATTAGATTTTAAAATATAACACAATTTCATACCGATATAAGTCACTAACTCGGATTTGGCTCCCCCTCCAGTAGTCCATTTGTCTAATTTTATTTAGGAAAAAGGACAAATATATCCCAAATTCTTGTATTCGTTATACTTTGGGGACATTTGTGCCCCTGCCATCCAAAAATTAAAGTATATATACACTTTATATTAACGGACATACACATGTCATAATTTTATCCGCTGATTAAATATCGGATCAACGGATAAGATTGCGCCACGTGTACCTATTTAGTCTTCCGTTTGAATGATGGGC